CAAATTTACTCCAATATCAAAGCCATATCAACCTATGCACAGCCTTTCTATGATTTGAACTGAGCCCACCTTCCAAAGGTAAAATACTTACTGGCAGTCCCTGGAGCCCTGTATCACCTGGAGCTCCAGGTTTCCCCGGTTCACCCTGCAAAACATTTTAAGTTGCAATTTATGCAAATCAAACATGAGGGAGAATTTTATTTCTGGAACACAGAGCTGACATACATTTGGATTTGTAGTACAGAAATGTTAATTCAATTACCCTAATAATGTGCATAAAACCATGAGTAGCAGACACAAATTAATGAACAAATCTAGGGCAGGACCAAAGCTCAGAAATATGTCAATTGTGCCTTACTTTAGCTCCAGGCATTCCAGGGATCCCTTCACGGCCATCAACTCCTGGTAAACCCTTTAAAAAATATATATATATATATATAATTGTAACTTTGAAAATATTTTGGCCAAGCTCTAATATACAAAGTAACATTAAATGGAACAAATAAAGAAATTAAATACATACAGGCTCTCCTTTAGGCCCAGGTAGGCCGTTTATTCCTCTTGTACCTTGAGGACCCTAAGAATAATAACAATATTTAAAAATTAAGCTAAAGACAATGAAATGACATTAAAAGAATGTCAACACATACTCATTCAGATACACATTATTTTGAGTTTTGCACTGTTTATATGTGATTAATGTTTGCAAGTCAACAAGAGCCAAAATTTGTCTGTGCTCACCCTTTCTCCCTTTGGACCTGCCTCTCCTAGTGGACCTCTCTGTCCTTGATCCCCCTACAGAAAAAAAAATATTTTAGAAATAAAACCAGAATAAATATCCTTTTATTTTTTAGCAAAAACTCTCAGAAAATTGAGAAGTACAATCCACATTTGGTGAAAGCAGACATCTCCAAGTCACACTATATTTAAAAATGCAGTTGCTTAAAACAGCAGCTGACAGATATATTTTAAAAAATGCTGCTCAGTCCATCACCTGAGATTTCAGGACTATCTAAGCAAAGTATACTGCACTTTTTTGTTTAACACAGAATTTCTGGCTATTCCAAGCACAAATTCCAGTGTGGAAGCAGAGAGCAGGGAAGAATTTAAGAAAAAAACCAAGCAACTAAACAACCCAAACAAATAAAACACACACACACATAATAAAAACCTCCAACAAAAATTGTGCAAATCTCCCTGTATGGGTTTTGTTCCAGTCTGATACCTGAAAACTCCAAGCCACCCTAATGCAGCTTAGGACTCAGAGGAGGTAACCATAACATACCAAGTTAAAATGGGTTCATCTACCTCAAATTCTTTGGGAACATTAAGACAGTACTGACTTGATACCACTGTAATATCATTTATTCACCTGTGGGGAATCAATAGAATGAGACCAGCCCTAATTGTGGGGTCACACCATAGTATCCACGGGGTCTCAGGCAGGAGAAACAGGAGAAGAGCCACATCCTGGCCACAAATGTTTTGTGAGGCCAATTTCCCCACAATGACATCATAAGGAGATCTAGAATTTTGTGCAGTTTTGCATACCCATAGCAGAAATTCCCCTTACATTACACATAC